AGCTCCCAGAGGTTCCATTCTGTGCTTTCACTGCGGAAGGAATATCTGGAGAATTATATAGCAGAATATGTAAATTTTGATAACACTATGTTTCTTGAATTATAAAATAAGCAGTATACTAATAAATTGATCTTTTACCCTCAAAACAAATTCACACAAGTATGGAAAGAAAGATGTACGGTATTAACGAAGGTGTTTATTGAAGCATCAATAGAAGTAACCTTAAGGTCCATCAATAGAGAAATGGTTAAATATATTGACACAGCTATATTATCACGTTATACAGACATTTAAATAAATAAGGTGATATGGAAGCAGGCTGAAAAATGATAAATTTTTCATAAATAAATAACTGTGGGTACACTTTAGCATTTGTAGAGAAAAAGTTTGGAGGGCTATACACTCCCAAAACTGATAACTGGTTGTGGAGGTGAAACCAGGGAAGTGAGAGTTGGAAGGGGAGAGGTGAACTTTCATTTCATTCTCTTGAGTTTTGATTGTAATTTTTTTTTTATAATGAGCTATTTTCACTTTCATAATTAAAAAAAAAAAACACTAAAGAAAACCTTAGGGACTTGCTTCAAATCTTCAAAATGCCAAATGTCTTAAGGGTTTGGTTCTTAACCATATCCTAAGAGATATGAAGAGTTGCAAAACATGCTGCCCTTGCTCCAGGTGATTAGGCCTTCCCTCCTGCCCTCCTGCCCTCTAGAAAGAAAATCAGACAAGGCAGGGATGGGTCAAAGGGAGGATCCAACTAGGTCAGAGTGTCAATGATAAAAGCAAGCAGTAACTAAGCAACACACTGGGGTGAACTCTGATACCTGTGTACCTTTTCTCCAGGCTTTGTTTTATTTGCTGGTCAGAGTGTTAGGTGTTACAGTCAGACGTTAATTGTTATGAAAAAAGGAAATCAAAAGTCTACAGATAGACTCTATCCTTGATTAACTCCAGGGCAGATCCAGGAATTAGCTCACAGTTGCTGGTTGCTGCCTTATCTATTTCTCCAAGAAGCTTTTTTGGTGATCCCAAAGACTATGAATGATGATTGGAGTTTGATGGTAGATCTTGAAATAGATGTTTAAGGAAGTCTTGATAGTCTAACCCTTTTATAAAATGTAATGAGAATAGTTTTCAAATTCTGTGAGACAAGCAGTCAACTTCCTAACGAGTTTGATCAGCAAATGGGGTTTCAAAACAACACATTCCATCCACTTCTGCTCAAACTTCGCAAAGCTGGAAGCGGAGGTATCAGCCTCCTACTCACCTACTCTGCACTATGAGCCCCTTACTTCCTATCCAGCCCATGAAAGTGGACATGACCTAAATCCAACAGATAATTTGTTCTGAATCCATTTGTCTTCTCATTTAACCTGTAGAGAAAAATCTGCTCTAAAGAAATTTGTTTTCAAATCCAAGTTCACTCCTTCCATACTTCCTCTTTGCTAAAACCAATTGTTTCGCTTTTAAGTGAAAAGAACAGGTGGGAAGTCCCCTTTTTTGCATCTGCCCCATCCAGCTGCCTTTCATCTATGTGAGTCCTGCACGGGTTAGGCACCAGGTGATTACCCACACTCCCTTCTGTCCCCACTGACAGGGGTCCAGATAGCTCTCAGTCACTTTTATGACCCCTCACTTCCTCCAGCATCTCCAACCCCCCAGCCCAGCCTGCTTCACTGCAACTGTTTTTCCATCAATTAGACAAATGGTTTCCAAATGGTGGACTGTGATCCATTAATAGGTTACGCATTTTTAAGAACACAGAATAGAAACAGAAATAGAAACTTGTTTCAGATACACATGTACTTACTTATGTCCGGAGTCTCAATGTAAAAATACATGTTGTACTCCTGTAGTTCAAAATGTTTGAAATATTGCTTTAGACAAGCCTTTTCCATCTACTCAAACTCCCACCACAATATTGGTCCCACTGTTCAGGACTCCTTTCCTCCACGCTGGCCCAAGCTCTGAACAGACTTTCAGCTGTCTTCTTCATCGGCCATTTTTGAAAACCTTGGCCTTTTACAGTGATTCACAAGCTCCTTCTCATATATCCACAAGATTGCCTTCTCCTTGAACAGACCAATGTTCTGAGTAAAAAAGCACCTTTTGCTATTCCTGCCTTATCCTGCCTCCGCAGGTCTGGGATCTGCTTGAGGCACATCGAACTGTCTCACCAGGAATAACAAGCTTCAGAGCAGCAGGACTCCATTTCTTTGTGTGCTGCCTTTCATCTCCAATAGGAAAAAATACCACCAAAGTCACTCTTGAAATACCTTAGAATTTTTTATAAAATTAGCCTCACTTTCCTGATATAATACATTCTTTGGAGTAATACAGTAATCCAGTGCCTGATATCAATGCCAGGTGAATACAGCTTATCCCTAGTGTTGAGTTAAGTCTGCTTCCCATCCCTGAGAACAGATGGTGATTCCACCTCCATACTGCTATCTTCTTCCTCTCACAAGGCAAATGGAAGGAGGGAAAGCACAGCAAGGTGCTTGGTGGTATCCTTTGCTCTCTCAAGGACAAGGACGCAAGCTGTCCAGCACAATTCCACCCCCAGTCCTGCCCTCCCTTGTGCAAGTGCCCACTATTCTCATCCAGACAATTAATTCATTATCTTCCTCAACAGAAAAACTACAGTTTTCTGTATCTCAGTGTAGACTGTTCAGTTTACTCTTCTCAAACTGAGTATCCCACTTTTTAACCTTCCAAGAGATGTAGATGCCTAACTGAATCCTTAATCTGTAGGATATTAATTTGGAAAGAAAGGTAGGAAGAGGCACTGAAGTCTGAAGGGTTTCTTAAAAATTAAACTGCCTGGCTTCCTCTAATACAAGGCAGGCCAGCTCTGAGGGGGAAACAAAATGCCAGGCCTCCTTTAGAGCACCAAGGGAGGAGCGTGAACAGGTCTGAAAACGTAAGAGAGCTGCACTCCACTCTGAGGAGCCAGAAACACTCTCAAAGGGAAAGAGGGAGAAGGGCCCATTAAACCTCGGGTGCATTCCAGAATTTGCCTAGAAGGTATGCCACTCCCTTTTTGCAACCCAGTCACTTTCCCATTTCCCAAGGGGGAATCTAGGGCTCCTTTACTAACCTGCTAGTTATCTGGTTATAGGGAGGGCCTTCCATCGCCTGCCAAGCCCCTTCTTCCTTCTCCCCACTCCTTTGCAGGAATGCTCTTAATCAGTCTAGCACTGAGTTAGATTTCTGGTAGCTCCCTGCTCCCAAGGCTTCCCTTGGTAAGCAAATTATCCAATGGAGATTTCAGAAAATGAAAGAAAAGATAGGCCAGCTCTTGCACGGATACTCCACGATCTTGTCAGAAGATCCCAGCAAAGACCCAGCTTCTCTGGAGTTTCCAATAAAGTTTCAGCTCCTTGACCACTGCCATTCCTAGTCACCTCCAAGTATATAGCTTTAGTAGCAAAGACCCATTAATTCTTTCCACGTGGGTAAAGAGGATTAGAGTGAAGGCACAGAAATGGAAATCTAATAGTGTAAATATTAATAATGATGATGGACTGAGTAGCTGCATTGGAGGTGTTCAGCCTAGATAGGTAAAACTCCTGCAAGATCATACAGTAAAGATTCGAATTCTGTAGGGAGGAAATGTGACAAAAGGAGTTGCAGGGGTAGGAAAAAAGGGAGTATCTTCAAAATAAATTATTCTCTGGACCATCAGATGGCACGGGGGGTGGGGGGTGGCCAATTAACTAAAATCTATGGTTACTCAAGCCATTCTTTCAAATTTTCTAACATTACAGGAGTACACTTTCTTAATTTAGTTTCACCCTTACAATCCTTATCTTTTAAGGAAAAGATAAACAAGGGTAAAAATTCTCTACCTCATATATAGCTAACTTAAGAGGGAACTTGGATTCTCCAGCTTATTACCTTAATTGGCTACACAAAGATGAAGCTGCATTCCAATCTATACCATGTGCTTACACAGCAGTATCTCACTTAAAAACACCACAATCCACGGGCTTTTTTTTTTTTCAGCTCCATTTATGACTGCATAGAGATTTTACTAAAATGAGTTTTCCTGCTTCACATATCGGTTCCTAACATCCACACAAACTCTTCCATCTTGTCCCCAAACTGATATCTGGATTAATTTGGAATTGTCACTCTTTAAGGTAAATTTCATAATTTCATATAAAAACGTGCACCACACTCACACGTGTACAATTAAGAAAATACAGACCAGCAACAGTGACTCTTAAATGAACTTACACAACTCCAAGTACTTTCACAGAGGTTTTCCTGCCATCTCCGGGCGGTAGGAAAATGCTGGCATTACGAAGCCCATTTCATGGCTGGGCAAACCAAGGCACTTAGTTTAATAAACTTGTCAGAGGTTATAATGGTAGAGCTGGAAACAGAAACCAATTTCTCCCTCTGACTTTGCGCACGGTCCCTTTCCCACCAGACTTCCCAGCACTCGTTGGCTAAAAACGGGACCCACTTGAGAACTGCAAGGGTAAATAGAAGCTATTTGTTTTAGAAGGAGGCGGCGGGGGGAAAGGGGACTTACCCACTTGATGCGCCTGATTGTCGGTCTCTAACAAGAAAGCTTTCCCTGGAGTCCAAAGGTTTGCACCCACCCCCTTACAGCTGAGACCCGGGAGGCGCCGCCAGGCAGACAGGGCAGCCCGAATCGCGCAACCGGGAAACGCGAATGGGACGCAGAGCGCCTGGGAGGCGCGGGGGCCGCGGGCCCCGGGACACCATCTGCTCCCGGAGCGGCGCCGGGGCCCGCCGGGCTGGGAGGATGCTGTGCCCGCCGCACACACCTGCTGGAGCCCGCCCCGAGCCGCCTCCAGCGAGCCGGACGCCCACCCAGCCTCCAGGCGCAGGAGCCCTCGGCCGCGCTAGGCCAGGGGCGGGAAGTCGCGGCGCCCCTGCCCGCGGACTGCGTTCGGCTGCGCGGGGAAGCCGCGGGGCGAAGCGAGCCCGCCCTCCTCCCCGAGCCCCGCTCCAAACGGCGTCACCTGTGCTGGGTCCCGGGGCGACTCGCGCGCGGGCGGCTGCGCCGGGCCAGGAGAGGGCGGTGGGTAGTTACAAGCGCCTGGTTATTTGGCCTGGCCTGAGGGCTGGCGCCGGCCAGAGCCGCGCCGCGAGATGCTCACGGGAGCCAGGGAAGCCGCGGGCTCTGGGCCGCTTGGAGGTGCAGTCGCGGAGGCTCGAGCTGCCGCCACGGCCGCCGCGCCCGCCCGGACTGCGGGCTCGGGTTACCGCAGAGCGGCTCCTTAAAGGGGCCGCGGCCGCTCGGGCTCGGGCTCCGGCTGTCGGCGGCTCCGACCCCAGGCCAAAGTGGGCGGGGCCCGGAGGCCGGCAGTGAGGCCGACCTTCGGGTGCTGGAACTTGGGGCCAGGAAAGGGTTCAAAACACGAACACCCGAAGTGGGCTGCGGTGGGATCCTGGAAGATCACACCTCGCCTACGGCAGAGCGTGCGGTTCCCGGGCTTTCCAGAGTAAGTAACCAAACTCGCTGTGTTAGCCCGCCCCCGCTGCGGTCAGGACCTGAGCTAGCCACGTAACCAGAAATCTTTTTCGATTATAAATTTACATTCTGCCTTAAATGCCCAAATACTGCGTAAAGGAACTGCGTGGTTTGATCATCAGAAAAGAGATGAAAAGGCAAGTGCTGATTTTTCCTGCCACGTCTTACATGGCCGGAGTCGTGTCCCGCCGGGTTCTCCTTGGGGCTGCAGGTGCATACCAAACTGGGTAGGGGGCGTGTGTGGAAGAGGCATGTTCTCTCCCAGCAGCAGGCTCCGGAATTCATGAAAACCCCCTCTGAGAGTGCAGGAGCACTCCACCTACACCCGAAACCCCTATGCTATCCGGATGTGAAAGTAGGATCTGAATTTTTGGACGGGCTGAGAATCCCAAGCTGACATTTAATAGATCTTCTGACCTTTTATGTATAACCTCGAAAACTTCCAGGTGTTCTGGATCAACCAGATATTGTTTGGAACAAAACAAAATAATAAAGAGCTATATTTAGGCTATTGTAATTCGCAAAAAGCAAAAACAAGTCCTTTTTATGGAAAGAGGTAAGTTTTAAATAAATAATTTGTAAACACCACCATTAATAACACAAGAGAGTTATTTGTAAGAAATCACTTATCAGTAGAGCTAACATAGTTGACCTAATATGTACATGTACACAAACACACACTATCTGCTAGAAATTTAAACGAGAAAATACACACACACACATACACACAAAATCTCACACACCCTGTCTATATTTATGTTCAAGGGGAAAGCAATAGAATTGAAATCAGAACTTGGAATTCTGTCAGGCTGTTTATTAGAGACTGTGGCTTTACCTAACTGAACCTCACTGAGGCTCAATTTCTTCATCTATAAAATGGGAGTAATAGGCCTGGCATGGTGGCTCATGCCTGTAATCCCAGCACTTTGGGAGGCCAAGGTGGGAGGATTGCTTGAGGCCAGGAGTTTGAGACCAGCTTGGATGACATAGCAAGACCCTCCCATCTCTACAAAAAATAAAATTAGCCCAGCATGGTGGCACACACTTGTAGTCCCAACTACTCGGGAGGCTGAGGTGGGAGGATAGCTTTAGCCTAGGAGTTAGAGGCTGCAGTGAGCTGTGATTGCTCCACTGTACTCCAGCCTGGGTGACAGAGCAAGACCCTGTCTTTAAAAAAATAAATAAAAAAATATGGGAATAATAATTCATAGTTACTTCTGACCAACTGAGTCATGGCAAAAGGACCTCAGACTGACTTGGAAAAACAAAACCTATACCACCCTTCAGGGACAGAAACCTGTCCTGCAGTCAAGCATGGAGGAATATCCTGCAGGCCCCCAAGTGCATGTTCCTCCTTTTCTCCCTGAGGCTCTCAGGACATACCAGGAAACTAGGGCTCTTTGACCAAAACCCATCCCATCACAGTTGATTCACAAAGTATGCATGGTACCTGACATCTTTGGTTTGCCACATATTTATTTCATAACTCTCTGTGGGCAGGAGTGTTGTATGTGGAAAATACAGATTTCACAGTGTCATCTCAAGACTGTGTATCAAGACTACCTCCTACAGACACTCTCCCATGCTTGTCTCTGGTGGCTGAAAGTGACTCTGTTCTTTCCTGATAAATGTGCCATTGTTATCTTTGATATGCTTAATTCTCTGACACCAACAACAGTAACCAAAGCCAAGTAAACTCACAGAAATCCACTATACTCTATGTCCCACTGTATTCCTTCATGTTAGGGCTCTACAAATGAATCACCAAATCTGAAAGATTGTTTGGAAATTATACAGGACATGAAAGTGAATGCATCCGGGACAAAGTCTGAGATATGAAAGGAATTTAGTAAATTTTAGTTGAATGTTGAAACTTTTAAACTAATCAAAACTCAGTGACTTCAGGAGGTAAAAGAATGTACTGACTCTATATTTTTCCTGAAATTTTTAATACAGCTTAATTTCTTTAAAAATATCCATTTCCTTATTCACATTCAAATCTTTAATTATTCTTAACTTCCTTTTACCAATATTCCCTTTCTAAGGATACGTCCTCAAAATTCTGTATTTACTATACAAAGGTTTTCTGCATTTTAAATGTGATGTATCAAGGTTGAATTGCACTTTTTACATTTTTGTTCATTGAAACAGTTCAAGAGAAAAAAATACAAAAATTCTTTTAAATGAAGCAAATTTTCCTGGTGAATTTGTTTCCCAAAATTCTTAAACTTCTAAATAGAGCCAATTGCTTGAAAACCTGAGACCAAAAGCTGCTTTTTTCTGAAATAACAAGATAACTAAAGCAAAAATGTGTTGGTCTGAAAACTGCCTCAATTCCCCACTCCACACTGTTAGTGAAGGCATAACCTAAATGACACCAAATATTTTGATCAGAAAGATTGAGTTAGTCAAAAATGAACAACCACAGGCACTACTTTTTCCTGTACTGGTAGTCTTAGTGTATCAAGAATTTTTTGTGAGCCCTAGCCCTACCCCTAAACCTAACCCTAGCCCTAACCCCCACAAAAATAATAATAAATAATACAAAATAAAAATTTTTGTAAGGTTTCAGAAGTATTTAAAAGTACTTTCATCTTACAAAGATATGGGATAAACCCAAGTGCCTATCAATTTATGAGTGAATTAACAAAATCTGGTATATGTATACCATAAAGTACTATTCAGCCATAAAAAGGGATGAATTGATGCCTTTTGCAGCAATTTGGATGGAACTAGAGACCATTATCCTTAAGTGAAGTATCTCAAGAATGGAAGAACAAGCACCACATGTACTCTCTAATAAATTGGAACTAACCGAGGGGCATGTATGTGCACAGAGGTCAGTAAAAGTCATTGGAAATCAAGCAGGGAGAATGGGGAGAAGGGAGGGACAAAAACCTACCTAACAGGTACAATGAACACTATTCGGGTGATGGGCACACTTACAGCCCTGACTCAAGCATTAAAAAAGCTACCCATCTAACAAAAACATTTGTACCCCTTTAATGTTTTGAAATTTAAAAAAAGAGGGCAGCCAACGTTTCCACCCATCCTGCTAGTCACGGGCCATTCCTCTCATCAAGAGATGGAGATTATTTCCCCTCCCTTTGAATCTGAGTTGGCCTAGTGATTTGCTTTGACTAACAGAATGCCATGGCAGGGACTTGTGTGAGTTTAGGATCCAGCTGTTAAGAGGACTGGTAGTGTCCACTTCTCTCTCTTGGAACTCAACTGCTGGCTATGAGGAGGTCTGTGCTTTCCTGCTGGAGAGAGGGGCCATGTGGAGAGAGAGGACATATGCCACCCTGGAGGGGAACTAAAGTGTCCCAGCTGACAGTCACCCTCGAGGCCCAGACATGTGAGAAAGGCCATCTTGCGTGCTCCAGCCCAGCCGCCAGCTGAACGCAGCCAACAGAGTGACCCAAGCTGGAGCAGAAGGACCACCCAGGCAACCCACTGGATGGTGAGAAATAATAAACCATTGTTCTTTCAAGCCCTATAAAAACAAAAACAAACAACAAAAAAATTTTCGTCTATTTTTCAGTCTTTTTTGGAAAGAAACCATTTCAGAAATCCACTAACAATGGTTATCTGTGGGTGGATGAGATTCTGGCCATCTTTATTTTCTTTTTGCTTATTATATGTGATATTTTTCCTGTAATGTATGTGTATTGTTTGTATTGTTATTTTTAATGAAAATGATACATATAAGTGAAAATTCACATGGTTCTTAAAGGCTTACAACAGAAAACATTCGTAAGTGCCAAGTCGCCTGCCCTGCTTCTCCCCACCTGTCTTCACCTCAGATTCCACACAACCCTACTCTGTGTTCTTCACTCCCTAAATGACAGCCTTATACCAATGTTTCTTGATTTTCAAGGTTAGACATTATTCATTAACACCTTGTCATGATATCTGATGATTTAGCTCCTTTATACACCACGACCACAAACACTTTGCCCTTACCCTTCCTTCTAGTGTACCCACATCACCACGTTCACCCCAATCAATAATGAAGGTTACATCATCCTGACAGTGTAAATATAGTGAGCACGTTGCTGAATCAAGTAACATGCCATGGTAACATGTTAAAAATCCCCTGTTCTTCCTAAAGTTAATAATTGCCTCACTTTTTCACTTTTTAAAAAATGGCCAGATGCAGTGAGTGGCTCATGCCTGTAATCCTAGCACTTTGGGAGGCCAAGGCAGGAGGATTGGTTGAGGTCAAGAGTTCAAGACCAGCATGAGCAAGAGCGAGACCCCATCCCTACAAAATAGAAAAATTAGCCAGGTGTGGTGGTGTGTGCCTATAGTCCCAGCTACTCAGGAAGCTGAGGCAGGAGGATCACTTGAGCCCAGGAGTTTGAGGTTGCAGTGAACTATGATGACATTACTACACTCTAGCCAGAGTGACAGAGTAAGATCCTGTCTCAGAAAAAAAAAAAGAAAGAAAAGAAAAAGTATCTTACTTGAATTTTATCCAAATACTTCAACATCGCTATCAAATGCCCATTAATAATATCTTCCAATGCCCAGACACCTGACTTTCAGTTTACCCTCTTATTTTGCTGAAGCACACACTCCAGTAGCTTACTCAGAGGAGGTACATTTGTGGTAAATTTTTAGAGTACTTGCATGTCTGAAAATTTCTTTATTCTCTTATTACTGACTGATAATTTAGAAAGACTGGAAATCATTTTCCCTAAGCATTTTTAAGGATTTTTTCCAGTGTTGCCATTGAAATGTCTAATGACTTTCTAGTTCC